TGTGAAAACCCTTGTTGTTGTTCTTTAGCTCCCAGAGTCAGAAGGGAGTCAGCACAGTTCAGTGTTTGGACTGGTAATGCACTGCCAGACGGACAGGGAGCAGTGTTTGCACCGTTGTACTCACCCGGTGCTGGTGAGCAGGAGGCGGGGGAGTGCGGTGGGGTCCGAGGGGGCTCAGATGTAAACAGTCATGCCCCCCTCGGGGAACGCTGAACAACATGACGCATGTAGTCCATCAACAGGCTGCTACCGTATCTGTTTGGGTGTAATCCGTCTGGACGATAGGCTTCGTAACGTTTCCAGAAAAGGGCAAAGTTATTCACAAAGACAAAGTTAAAAGAGCTGCATGTAGCCTGGATCCACATATGCAGCGCCACAACACGACTGTAGAGGCAGTCACCTCTGTTTACAGTCGGGATTGGACCAGAAATAAAAACAGATAATCCGGAGGATTGAAGGAGGTGGAACAGATCCATAAAATGTTTCTTAGTGACTTCTGACTGCTGAAGTTTCATGTCGTTAATTCCCACATGCACGACTACCTTGGAAACGGTATCAGGCAGGGACTGAAGCAGAGGAGGGAGGCGTATGAGCAGGTCTGGTACAGTAGCTCCGGGAATACAGCGAGTGACCGCGTTAAAGAAGCGGACGTGTCTCACGATGGAATCTCCAATAATCAGAGTGGTCGGGCGAAGAGTGGACGTGGACGCGGCCTCGGAGAAGGAGCTCGGTGGACGGAACCAGCGGATTCACCCGAAGCAGGACCCGAGCCTGAGCGCCGCTGAACACATGGAGAGGAGGAGCGGGGGTGCTGACTCTCAGCTACAGGCGACCCACGCTGTGTGCTCGGGGACGCTGGAGCGGTGAGAGGGCCTGGCTCTGGGCGCTGCTGCTGACCCGGTGGAGGTGAGCGGTGGTGATGATGGCTCGCTACCCCAGTCTGAGGCTGCTGCACTGGGGTCAAAGAAGGGGAACAGGCCAACATGGCTGGTGGACCGCTCTTTCGCCTGAGGACTGCTTCCTTTAGGAGCGTTTTCCTCGTAGTGGACTTGGATCCTCGAGCAGTAGAGTACGCTGCAGTGTCCAGGGATTCTGCTGAGGGGGCCGGGATGTCAGTGGAGAGGGCTGCATAGCGGTTTGCCAGACTCAGGACATGGGCCACGGCGCAGGATGGCTCCTCGGAATCCGCGGGCTCGTTATTCGGAACCGGGCGCTTAGGTGTAGAACAGGAGGGTCCGGAGCTGACGGATCTCTCCCACACGACAGTGTCACAATATGCAGCGCTCAGTGACATAAGCCGTGAATGCTGCCCACCAGCGACTTCAAAAAGTTTGGACACTAGAGATTGTTTCTCATTCAACTCTGCGGTGAGACGAAGGACTTCTTTTCGTAGTTCTGCAATGGTGGCACGGTCGCTCTCACGGAGCTCCAAGGTGAGGCGACTAATATTGTGTATGTTTGAGCCAATTTCATTGTCACTTTCCATGTCCTCGATAGCTTGTGTTAGCCTCTGTGCTACTAGTGGGTTTCAGTCGGGACTAAGCGCTATTTGCTGAAACCACTGAATTAATAAGATAAAACACTCAGATATATTAAAAAACTGAACAATAAAAACGTGCTAAAAAGTTGTTAAAAGTTTACTAAAAAGGTGCACAGAGCAGCCCTGTGTCACTCTGTTTGAACATGGCGATATAGTGTCCGTCTTATGGGGTACTTATGGGGTTAGAGGAGGGACGGGTGGATTTTGTGGGAGAATTTGAGTTGGACGCCCTAGGTGGCTTTGGAGGTACGTATGGGGAGTAGTTTTGAATGTTAGATAGGACTCTTGATCTGGCTACAGTGGGTGTGAGAGGAATAGTCTTCATCGCCGATCTTATCATGCCTGCCGAGTGTTCCGGTAAATCCAGTAGTGAAGGCGGGGATAGAAAACAAAGGGAAAGGTCGTCCTCATTTTCCCTAGATGGAGTGGATGTAGCGGGGGGGACCCAAGCCGGGTCCATGGAAGGTGATGAGGTGGTTGAGGAACCCCCAGTACAGGCCTGACTGTAGCCTGGAGCAATGGGGGAAGCTTCAAGGGAGCTGTAGGTGGGGAAGGTGCTGCTGAAGATGATGGAGCAGCCACTGCTGCGGCTGTATCCACTGCTGCTGGTGGTGCTGTATATGCTGATGGCGCTGATGAAGATGTGGCAGCTGCTGATGATGCTGGTGGTGGAGGCGTTGAGCTCTTTCGGAGCCGTGGAGGTGTTGAGTTCTTTTGGAACCTTGGAGGTGTTGAGTTCTTCTTGAATCGTGGAGGTGTGGAGTTCTTTTGAGGCGGTGGGGGTGCAGAGACCTCGGGAGTCGGTGGAGATGGTCGTGATGTCTGTGCCCTTTGCTTCTTCTTTCTCCCTTTCGACGGCTGCACGCGCTGCGCAGGCTGAGGTCTTAGGGCAGATGCAAAGTTATCCATCAACACTTTTACTCCGTAGTTGTTCAGATGTGGACCTTTTTCTTCAAAAAGCTCGTGCCTATTCCAGAACAGGTTAAAGTTTTCAATGAAGCCAAGTCCTCTGCGTGAACACTCATTGAGTAGGAATGTATTTAGCTGATACAGACGGCTAAACTTCTCAATTTTTCCATCTATATTTGGAAGTGGGCCACTAAGAAAAATTGTTATGTCCATTTTCTTGAGGTCATCCAGTAACAGCGTTAAATCCATTCGTAACTTCTCGCTTGCCTTCTCATAGATATCTACCGCCCCCGTGTGGATCAATAATGTACGCACACCACTGTTCTCAGATAACACTTTAGGCAGAAGAGTCCTTATCTCAGCAACTTTTGCAGAGTGAACTGAGACAGTGAGCATGGACTCCATGTTTACATTTTTCACCGAACCATCTCCGATAAGGACACAGTTTGTCCTTGGTGGAGGCGCTGCAGTTGTTAGCGGCTTTGTTGTTTCAGAAAGGGGTAAAAAGCGGTTTGAAGTCTTCAGAACATTTAGTTGTGGCCTTATTTCACTCCTATTGTCATTCTTAGCTTTGTCAACTTTGGGTTTAGCTCCACAATTGTTCCAATAATTCTCATTGTTGATTTTGGGAAAAGAAATGACGTCATAACTTACATTTCCAGTCTGTCCATTCATCCCATTTTCACTCATTGGAAGAGTCGGGTTAAGTCCCATTTCTGTTTCCACAATAGATATCCGTGTTTGAAGAGATTTGAGCTGATTTTCCAAAGCACAACAGCCGCCGCAGACGCTTCTCCGTCTCTTTCGTCCCGACATGACTAAAGTTGATAAATTCCACAAAGCTGAAGTGTGTAGAAGGAGTAATCCTCGTTTTGTAAATAAAATGATTAAAGGAGAAACAAAAAAATGTAAATAAAATGATTCAAGGAGATTAAAAGGCGAAGCAAAAGCAGAGCAGAGAGACACACGACTGCTCTCTTCAAAAGCAGGAAGCTACAGACTGTAGCTTGTAGTCTGTAGTCTGTAGGAGAGTGTAGTATTTTACTGGTCCACTGTCCTTGTTTTGTCTTTCTTGTGTCTGTCTGCTTTGTGCTGACTGTGCAGCGCTGTGTAAATGCTGTTTTTTTTTTTAAGTGCTGCAAATAAAGATGTATTATTATTTTTATTGTAGTTGGCATCTACTTTCTATGCCAGTGAATTCATAACTGCAAAGATAAAAGCATAGGTACTTGGCCCTAATATAAAGAAATACAACGGTGGTGTGACACAGTCTGGTCTGGGACAAGCACAAAGTGATTCTTCCACCAAATTAGATCATCAAATAGTCAATCAATGTCCGTTATGTTTTGAACTATAAACATGAACAATATGATTTGTTACTGAAATCTCATGTACGATTGGACAAAATGTGGTAAAATAAACCAGAGAGCGTGAAAGTCTTCGGTTCTGGTCCCTTTTAGGGGTGATTGAGTTTATAGATCCTCCAGACATCTGCAGGCCTCGATACAGACTCCTAACCTGTTTATATTTGCTTTTATTCTCAAGCAATATTCATTCCATAATCAAATGCAATTCTTTACAGATATGTCAATTAGGGGAGATATAATAAGAAATATAGCAATAAAAGCAATCCAGTTATAAACATGATCAAGGCAGGTATTTGTGGAGGACAATATAAAAGTTGAAGAGGTGAAAAAACAAAAGCAATGTTTCCAAAATGTAAAAAAGCAGAGGCTAAATCCAGAAAGATCATGGGTAATGAACAATTCTTTATTAATCAGTATATGTGTACAAGTCTGCATTATCAAGACAAATACTTAGATAACTGTGCATTTATAACATTCACAAACAGAATAACTTAATTATTTGAATTTGAGAAATGATTGAAGCGGTCCGTCCCACAGGCCAACACAGCTGCACTGAACTTCCTGGGCCGGTCTGGATCCTGCAGAAAGTTGGGACATGTGAGACTGTTTTGTAGATATAGATATAGATATTGTGTGTGGAGTGTTTGACCAGAGCAGAAGCCCTCCTGACCTGGGCTGGGTGGGCACACGTGGGCACATAGCGGATCACAAAGCCACAGCGCCTCTTTTGGGACGTGTTGGGGTCACTGGCGTGCACGAGGAGTCCGTCATGAAGCTGAAAAAGACAAATTTAACTTGATTTCCTTCTACAAACTGATCCTGTCTGATCAGTGTTTACTCACAGACATCTGTCCTGCTAAGAGAGAGCAGAGCTGAGCCTGCTCCACCTTCAGCAGGCTCAGTGGGCGGCACGGTGGCTGAGTGGATAGCACTCTCGCCTCTCAACAAGAAGGTCCTGGGTTCGAATCCCGGTTGGACCAGGGCCTTTCTGAGTGGAGTTTGCATGTTCTCCCCGTGTCTGCGTAGGTTTCCTCCGGGTGCTCCGGTTTCCCCTACCACTAAAAATATGTACAATAGGTCTGGCATGTGCCTCCTGTACTGGCACCCCCACTCCCAAAAATAACAATTGTAAACCGCTTTGAGACTCCGATGTGCAGTGAAAAGGCGGTATATATAAATAAAGATTACAGCAGCCCCTCGGGGATCTCCTGGTTCGCCGTCAGCATGTTCCCGGGACGCCTGGCTGCTCCGTGGGGCAGCATGCCGGAGCGGTGGGTCCCTGAGGGCGCCATGCATCAACTCACAATCAGTATGAGGCAGCATTTCTTAAACATCACTATACTTAAGAATTGAATATCTCAAGTGCTGTTGCCACATGTGTTATGTGTTCACTACGTTACTATATATGTATTGATAGCTTTGAACAATGAGTTGTTAAATTGTTTAAGATTTATTGTGATATATTTCTGTTTGAGGGTGACAGTAGCTCAGTTGGTAGAGCATTGACATTTGAGCCTGAAGGTTGTGGGTTTGAGCCCACACCAGACCTCCTTCATGTTTCCCACTGATTACTGCTGTCGTTGTGTCCTTGGGCAAGACACTTAACCCCACTTTGCCTGAAGCCCCCACTGAAAGATCAAGGCTCCTGTGGACTCACCACCTGCAGGAGGATCAGTGTACTGGGTGCAGCTCTGACTGCCACCCCGGACCCAGAAATGGATAAAGGGGAAGAAAATTGATGGATGAATGGATATTTCTGTTTGAAGTAATGACAATGGGTATGGTGCAAGTTTGAGACAGCAGTGACTTCAGTAAAGTAAATCAGATTAAAACAACAACACAGTCCTAGTTTGACACCCCTGATCTAAAGCGACAGTCCTTGTTGTATAGTCCTGAATCTAGCACTCTGGTCAACAGCAAATCGACAGCTTTGTAAAGTCCTCCAACTACTGTTGGCTTATTGGCTATAAAAAAAAAGAAAAGAAAAATCCTATCCTAGATGTCAATTCAATTACCTCTTTATTTACAAAACTAAGTAATTCAAATACTAGCATTTGTCAGTGCTTTGTGGGCAGCATGTTTAGCCATGTTTACCGGGTATAACCTGCAGGGCACCGTTCTCCTTCAGTGAATGATCTAAAGCCAACCACACGGACAGGACAGGTCCTCCATCGATGCCCCAATACCTGCGGACACAACACCATGAGGTCTCATTCACAATAACAAACTTGTTGGAGACGTCGGGGCCCACCTCATGTCCTGGTGCCAGGCCACATACGGCTGCTGCTCTTTACACGTCACACTGGGATATTTACAGATGAAGCGTGAGTCCAGCAGGATTACGTCAGGTCCCAGGACGGCTGTGACCACGTGCAGGATGCGAGGATGAAGCGCCAGGGCCTTCACCCACTCATACTTCAGGTGCACGTTATGGAGGTTATAACTGCTGTATTCAGGACCTACAGAACAATACACATACTGTTTTGATTTTCTGTCTTTTAAATCCAATCCACTCCATTTGTATAAAGACAGCCCGTTTTGACCTGATTGCTTTCTCAAATTGTTACTTAAACAATATTTTTCTTCTGTTGGGAAAAATGCATTCATGAAGTTCCTCCATCTTCAAAACAAAAACAATATACTTTTGTGAGTTCAAAATGCTGTTAAATCCATATATGTTCTTTCCTATTGGATTACAGTTTCCTTTGGGTGGTATTCTCTTTCACTTTTCTAAACAAGCTGTAACTTTTTTAATGGATGATATGGCAGTTTCATTGCTGTGGTTTGAAAATTCGGTACCCCAACTTTAGCTCATCATGCCGAAATAATGTCATTTTCAAGAAAAAAGCAAAACAAAAGAAATCAACAATTATCCATGCAGGGGGAAGATCATAAGAAGGTGTAAATGAAAATACACTGTCTGTCCCTGCACCGTCAACATGGCCTTGATCTATTGTTATAGATCCATGAGAACAGAGCATTCAGCCACTCTGCTCCCAAACTCAGGAACACTCTATGTTCACCTGAGTCCAGTAGTTGGACTCACTGGACATTTTCAAAACACTTCTCAAAACCTACCTTTTTAAAATGGTTATCGAAATTTGAAACGTATATTTTATTCTATAATTTTAATATTGTGTGCAATGTTATTAATATATTGTAAAAGGCGTCTTTGGGTCTTGAAAGGAGCCATGAATAAAAATTAATTGTATTATTATTTTTATTATTATACAAATGCAGATTGTAAACGACACTTACCAAACTGTTCCTCCAGGAGAGCGAAGTTGCGCCTGGCCTCCTGCAGCTCCTCAGCACTCAGCACGGGCAGAGCCGAGAGGAAGCCCTGCTGCTGGAACAGGTCCCTGTGGCGCTCAGCCGATCTGCTCCCGATCTCTGTCATCTTTATGTAACTGGCAATAACTGAAAGTGAGCAGAAAACCTGGGAAAAAACACAAAGATATGCAATCAATTAAGTGTAAAGTATTTATTTTTTAAAACAATGCTACAGTATGGCTCAACCAGAGAAAAAAACATTTCTGAGAATAAGAAGTTTTAACCACAGCATATCAGAATCAGAATCAATTTATTGTAATGTAAGAAACAGTTGATTGTAAAGCAAAAATGTACCAAGCTGTTATCAATATGCAAGCATATAAATACAGTACTAACCTGCAGTATGGTCGGGTGATGTGTCCACTTCTCCCCATCTCTAAGGCTATTTAAACTACGGTCCAGGAAATCCCACGTTTCACTGGGTTCTTTGGAATAACCAAAGAATACATTGTTTATTCCATTACATTTTTGCAAGCCTTTCTCGTTGGGTGTGGTGTAAAGTGAAGGTTTAAGAGTAATCTGAAACTATTGTTGTCGAGGCGCTTTGTATAGAGTGCAAGTTATACACCTTAAGATGAGCAGGGGGCATTGGACAAAGAGTCCTTTGAATAGATTATGATGCATAAAAAACTCCCTCTAAAAAAATATTTTTCTTCCCTGTGTGGGAGGCATACTGGCAGATGGGAAGTTTGCATGATCTCCCAGTGACGTGTGCATTCATGGGTTCCTTTACAAAATTGTATTTTTGTAAAGGAACCGTCACTTGTTCAGTACGTTTCCCGACTAAGAGTTCTATGACCGTGATGAAGCTGAAGTGATGGAATTGAGGCTGTGGAGGAAGTAAAACACAACAAGATTTGTATCAAAGACATTTAATCGAAGTGTTCCTGCGTCATCTTAATGGAATTATAGCAAACTAAATGACAATTACTTTCACAGTGGAAAATTGAGATCAATCATTTAACTTGTTTTGTGTTTTAGGTAATACGGGCTCATTGTACAAGTTTACAATAATTATCAATATGTTTGTATAACGTGTTTGATAATAGTCAGTCTTTTGGTCTGGGCTGGTGATTGGGGCACAGGGGGTGATGCTGTGTCCTGTGTGGCTGGTCCTCATGCTGTGTCCTCTTGTCTCCCCCTGCTGGTTGTCTCTCATTGTTACATCGATGGATCAGCACTGGGTCTGTGAGCGGAGACTGACTCTTTTTCAGCAGCCGCTGCAGCATCTGTTTGTCTGAGCGCTCACGCCTGAAGTCATCTTCATACACCTTAAGCTGTGCGAACGCCAGAACACATCAGGTCGGTTTCAAAAGTGTCGTTTAAACGATCCTGAAATACATACTGATTATGAATGTGTATAATTAGTCACCTGTTCTTGCAGTAGCGCCACCTGCTGACACATCTCTTCCCTCTTCTTTCTCAGCCTGCGGTTCTCATGCAGCATGTGTTTATGGGTCTTTTGCTCCGTGTGAAAATCTGCTTCATAAATCTGGGTCTGCTGACACAGGGCATCAATATGGCGGTCAGACAAATCATACAATCTGATCTCTTACTTTCCTTCTACTCTTCAAATCTCACTGGCCCCAGAGTCCACATGGGGGTGCAATACCTCTACCACTCACAGACAAGTGTTTAGCAGATCTCTCCCTGGCAACAGCGGCTCATCTGTAAAGAAAAGCTTTTGCAGACTGTTGTAGTGTGTATCCCACCTGACACTGCATCGCCTGCAGCTGCTCCTTCAGCACCTGCACCTCCTGTTGGGGGTCTCGCTGTGCAGAGGGACAGTGGCCCGGACCCCCCAGCTCTGCCTGTGGGCTGGAAGCTGCTGGGATTAATGGGTTTGGGGGGACCGGTGACAGCTCCAGAGCTCTTGGGGGATTGCCAGAGTTGCTTGATGGCAGTATCATAAAGTTGCCCTGTAGTACAAACACACTGTAAACCCTAACTTCAATCGTACTTCAGATATCAAAGTTATTATAGATTTTTCCCAGTAAGTAAATATTACTCATTTATTGTTAGTTTATTTAAAGCTAGCCTATGTCACTCAGGGTTTTCTTTGAATTGAACTGTTTCTGTTCAAGTAAGCCTCACTTTTGACATTTTGACGTGTAGAATCTTTAACGAGGCAGGTATTACCTCTCAACTACAGGGTACTGAGTACGAATCCCGGTCGGAACATAAGAAATTTAAACTTTATTGCAATCACTTGAGTTTACTTGGTAATATCAAGTAAAGGATGTACTATGAATTCAAGTGAAGTTAATACGCAATTTATTTCCATGGTTTTTTCAAGAAAACTTTACTTGTCAGGGTTTACAGTGGCAAAGCACACATAGAAGGTACTGGTGTGAAAACAGTGGGACAGCAGGTACCTGTTTGGAGGAGCTCTGGGAGGGGGGCACCCTGCTCTCCATACGTCTGATACACTCCTGCAACCCATGGTTTTTCTTCAACTCCAGCAGCAGTCCCCGCTCATAGTAGTTTTTCACACTCTAAAGTAAGATAAGATAAGACAAACTTTATTAGTCCCACAATGGAGAAATTGTAATGTTGCAGCACACATGACATACAGGACAGCAGTACGAGCACAAGGCAGCACACAATGTTTCTTATAGCTAGCTGTTAATACTTCAATGACAATTTATTGATATATCTCTATCTATTTATATAAATAGTGTAAAGTATATTATCACATTTTTACATGTTTGAATCATTCCCAGTCTTTTGCAAAACCTGAGTGATACTATTTATGCCAAATGTAACATGTACATTTCTCCATTATAAGATCAATCTTGTCTTATCTTATACTGTTTTCTTGTGTATAGGCTCACAAATATAAAGACGTCTCCCATCTCAAAGAGAAGAGGTACCTGCTGGTTCTCTATTTTTCGCAGCAGTTTTCCGTTAAGTGTTTTGATGGCTGCGTTTTCCAGCTCCAGAGCCTCTATTCGCTGCTGTAGATTGAGTGTGGCAGTGCGGTACACCTGGTCCCATTCCTCGTTCAGCCTCATCACCTGAAATACATCATCATTACATCATGACGTATCCAAGACTGCCATTCAGTCTCCCCAGCATTAGTGGACTACTGAGGTCAGATCGTCACTGAACAGAGGAATACAACATTTACCTTTGCCCTGTATGAGCAAGAAACATACAAAGGTTTTAGATTTTAATTTAAGACATCTATAGTTCCTCTATACTTTTCACAGAGTACCAGCAGCGTTGATATGGCCCACATTGTCTGTTGTGGTCCTCAAAGGAGACATATAATGCAAATGTGCTTTCTTTGAGTTGTTTTTATGTCTGTCCACGGTAAAGGAGGAACTGGCATAAACTGGTAACCCGTTCTGTCTAAACGCTCCTGTCTCAGTTAAGGAGGTCCTGGGTTCGAATCCCTGTCAGAACAGGGCCTTTCTGAGTGGAGTTAACATGTTCTCCTTGTTTCTGCGTAGGTTTCTTCCAGGTGCTCCGGTTTCCCGTATCTCTAAAAACATGCACAATAGGTATGAATGTAATGAGATGGTGTTGGTCGGGGCTTTGATGGACCAGTGTGTTCGGCGTCTGGCTTCCGTCACCACCGTGTGTGAATGGAAAAACATCTGGTTTCTGAACATTGTAAAGCGCTTTGGGTGAGCTTGGACTGTAAAATGCACTTTATAAATTACTCACTTATCGTACTCAGACTTTTTAAACAACATTTGTGCCCATACAGGTGAAACTTGGAAAATTAGAATATTATTCAAAAGTCCATTTACTTCTGTAATTCAATAACACAAAAATCACACGCAGAGTGAGATATATCAAGTCTTTAGTTGATTATTGGTTCACAGCATGTGACAAAACCCAAATAGAACATCTGAATATTTTGAAATTGTATTGTAATCCAAATTCATCAACCTGATAACAAACATATGTCACTTTGCAAGTAATGAGTCGGTATTATACAATCACCTATAGCTCTGTGCAATTTTCACATTTGAAAAAAAATACCCCCTGGTGGTAGAATAGGGATAAGGCAGACATTGGTCACGCTTGATCATTTTTTTACCATATATTTTCTACTGAATATATAATTTCACATTCTAAAGCATGAAATGAGTAAAGAGTCTCATTGTTATTTTCAATGTCCAAAAGAAATGCATAACGTTTCTATTTTTAGTTTTCGTTATAGGGTTAGGTATTGTATTGTCAGTCGTTGGGTTTTCCCCCACGTGATTTCATTTCCCCCCCCCCTTTTTATAAGGTCAAAAACACACATGTGTCAGAAATGTATGAAATTATTGCATTGAGCTCTTTTCTTTTTACAAAATGTTAAAGGTATGAATTCATTTATTTTTGGTAATTTTTTGGTCATTGGGTATTTTCTATTTTTTTTTAATGTATTTTTCTTTGTCTCCATTTATTCTGCTGTAATGTGTGCAACAATGACATTACAATTTCCACTGTGGGACAAATACAGGTGGCAACAGTTGCACAGCTTTGAGCCTGAATCTCGTGTGTTCAAGCTCATCACAAGACTCCCACTGATGTCCACTGTTGTTGTGTCCTTGGGCATGACACTTAACCCCACTTACCCTGAAGCCCCCGCCTAAAGATCAAGGCTGCGTCATCACTGATAGAGCAGCCATCCTCCTGTGTGACCGGGCTGGTGCTCTGTGAATTGGGAGGTAGCTGATTGTCACCCCCCCCCCGAACCAGAAATGGAAAAAGGGGAAGAAGATGGATGGATGGATGGGACAAATAAAGGTTTTATCTAATCTATCTTATTGTCCAAGATAATCAGTTCTGGATTGCTGATGAACTATTTTAGACAAAACTCCCAAAACACGCACTCCTGCAACTTGTTGTTAAGGTGAAAGTGAAAGTAAACGCATTCAGAGCTGGGGGTGAGGCTGTATATACCTCTTTGTTGATGCGGCGCAGCTCTGTGTTTTTGTCGAGAAGCAGTAGTTTCTCCTGGTCCGCGGAGGTGACTGTCATACTGTCAGTGATCAGAGTGACATGCTCATCAGCCTCAGGACTCGCCGGCCGTGTCCTGCAACCACAATGGAGACGAGTCATAAATAACGCCAGAGATGAACACTCACCGTTTCCATTAATACAGAAACACAAAGACGAAAAGCACTGTTGAACGCCCACTCTCTAAAAGTGCTCTTATACCGAGAATCAAACTCCAGCTATTATTCACACCGACATTCACACACGCACACACACACACGCACAACCACATTATGCACTCAAAGCAACAACGTTCACTTGAATTCATTTCCCCAACATTAACATTCACCTGTGTTTAAAAATAGCTGTGGAGCCTAGAATGTCTCATGCAAATCGATTATCACAGTGGTAAAACGAAAAAAAACCCCCGAAAAATAACAAATCCCCCTTTTGCATGTAGCCTAGTCTATTAGTGAAGCATTTGCATATTGATGTCCTACGGTAACGAGATCAGCCCCGGAAAATGGTAGTTGCATGAAATAGGAGAGGAAATATTTGCTGAGATTAATTACTCCGAACGTTTCGTGTTCCCGCAGGCCCTGGTGTGGGGTCTGGTCTAAATGGGAAGCAGACAGAGGCAGAGGAGCTGGAAAACCCTGGAGAGAGACTTGCGGAAGAACACACAAGGAAGCTGAAGATGTTTCCCCATGGACCCTTTACACTCACACACACACACACAGAACAATACATGCACGCACAGAACAACACACGCACACACACACAGAACAATACATGCACACACGGAAATATACAGTACATGCACACACACACACACACATATATGCACACACAACACACACACATGCATGCACACACATACATTTGCACACACATACATGCACACACATTCATGAGCACACACACACATACATACATGCACACAAACACAACACACACACATTACCAACACACAAACTGTACATATACACACTACACACACACACGCACACACACACACTGTACATACACACTTTATACTATACGGCTGGTTGGACTCTTGATCCCCTTGAGCCTCTCTCACTGGGACTTCTGTCAGGTTGTATTTGTTGTGACGCATTTATTAAAAGATAAAGTGACTTCATTTTCATTGAGATGTTGATTTGTTTTTGCATTTTAGTTACGACGTTCCAAAGAGCCTGTATAGTTTACAGTAAGATTGTGGTGGAGATCAGCCGAGGAATCTCTCCCGGTAACTTAGGTAAAAGTCAAAAGTCAGACTTCAGAGCTAAAGTATCAGTATTCCCAATCCACATGAAACAAAAACTGTCACAAAGTTCCACACATTTTTTGTGTTAGTTGGAGTCAAAACGTTTCTTATTTGTTTGATTGTAGTTACCGTGGCTACAGGTATTGCAGGTGTGCTCTCATCCTCTTCCAGCCAAAACTGTTTTGATATTTGGAGTGAGACCTGGTCACGGAAATGATTATAATTCTGTGTTGTCTTTTCCATTAAGCCAGCCAACTTCCATCCTGAGTCTGATTATTTTTCATGATTTGGAGTGTGTTGCATATTCTGAAACTATTTTTCTCATAGATGTGTCTAGATGTGGTGACGGTATCAAAAATAACTAATGCCTGATGTTGGTAGCACAAAAGACTTCAGACATAAGAGTGATATGGCAGGTTTGTGAATCAAACCTCTATCAAATTATGAACTGGGACAATGTTTGGACACTTTCAAAAAGATGCTTCTTTCCCACAGAGTCGCATTTGAACCGACCATGAAACAGGATAACGCAACATGATCACAACCAGTATCTTTTCCTGGCTTATTTACATGTAGTGTCACTTGAATTAAAGCCAGGGTTCTTGACTTACAACTACTCTTTATATCTCTCGTTTTCATATTCATATTTCAGTGCAAAAGAGAGACCCTATCACCCAGTTAATCAGCTCTCCACCCAAAAAGTCAAATACTGGCGCACTTTCTTACAAATATGATAAACTTTTCTTTAAGATGGAGACAACCTGAATTAAAAAAAATACATTTTGACAACAGAAGATGCTTTTCTGATATAATCTATCATTTTTACAATATTCAGTTCATGAAGGGCCACTGTCCCTATTAAAAAAGTTTGACAATAAGTTACTCATCTACGTAATAGAAGCTGGACAAGGTCATCAGGAAGTCCAGCTCAGTCCTGGGCTGTTCCCTGGACGCAGTGCAGCAGGTGGGGGACAGGAGGGTCCTGAGCAAACTAACATCTATGCTGGACCATGACTGTCACCCCCTGCAGGACACTCTCTCTGCTCTGGAGAGCAGTTTCAGTGACAGACTAATTCACCATCGCTGTGTGAAGGAGAGGTTCCGTAGGTCTTTCCTTCCTGCTGCTGTCAGACTGTACAATAAGAACTGCTGAGCCTGTAAATTTCTCTCAACTGTAAATAAGTAAATTCTTAAATCATGTGCAATGTGCAACTTCAGAATATCCTGAACAATGTCACTTTACTTTGCCTACTTATTATCCTGCCCTATATGTACACTATATAACTCCACCCTACATATTTATTTATTTTTTTGACTGGTATTGAAGCATTTACCGCATCTATAGCTATAGCTAGTAAAGAAACATAGCTACTACCTATTTTGCACTTTGTATATTTTGCTCTCTGTGTGCTCTTACTACTGTCCTGTATGTGCGCTGCAACATCAAAATTTCCCCACTGTGGGACGAATAAAGGAATTCTTATCTTATCACATCATTTATGACTTAAATTCCCTACAGTATGTTATTCGGACATTGTTTTGTTAAGCACTTTGAGTTGTAAATAAACTGTGCTATACAAATAACCTTGCCTTGCCTTCCAAGCAGACAGCGGCCCCAGTCAGAGAAGCTGTGTGGACCCCTTTACTAGAGACACTTGTATGTATTTATTATAGTTCGGTCAAGGTTGGCAGAGTAAATCTCACCAATAACTCGGGCACTTTGTACTCAAAAAAAAAGAAAAGAAAAGTGAAACGTAACTTTGTCTTTCGCCGCCAACACAAACCAACAGATCCACATCCAGCTCTCGCCTGGCGGCTCAGTCTTATGTATTCAGTGGTGCTGCTGGGATCACATCCGGCTCCACGCTTCCTTGATCCTGGGCCGGCTCTGACAGACAGCAGGCGAGTGTGACCCACTTTTTTTTCATCAACTTTTCCCAATGTGACATGTTTCTTTGGAAGGACACCATAACGCCACTGCTTCCTTCAACAGTTTGCTGATCCACCGTCATGGCAGGAGATAAGATGATATTGTTTCCTTTCGCTAGTGGCAACAAGGCAACGGGGAATTCAAAAGAGCTTTTTTCACTCGACTGAAATGGGAAGTGAGAGATGTTGCAATTTCAACTCAACGTGCGTCATTTTCAACCACACAAGAGCCGCGAGGATGCTGACCCTCACAACTTTAGTGAGGATTTTTAAACATATGATTATAATGTCAACAAATTGAGCTTGTATTTAGGTATACGACGGACTGATCCTGTCAGACCTCAGAGGCTAAACAGGGCAGGGTCTGGTTAGTACAGTGATGGGAGACCACTGGGAACAACAGTGGGGTGACTCACGCTGTAAAGTGCTTAGTTATTGTTGTAGGAAAGACACATTTCCTAGTTTGTGTCTGGTGTCTGCATTAAATATTGGTGGTGTTGAATTAGTGAATAGTGTCCAGAAAAACGGCATTTGCAATTGATATTTTATAACTGAACATTTATTTTACTTATAAGAAGTATAGCGAGCATCTGTCATGGTTTTTATTTTAGCCTGTATATTTGTTTTCTAATTTATTGTGTTATTTGTTTTCCCTCCCTTTGTGTGCCTTCGTTAGTTTTGCTTGTATAAAGTGAATCTATGCAAAAAAATCATAGGCATGATGTTGGTCTGTAGATAGGACTGTCATACATGAGAATAATATGGCAGGTTTGGGAATCTAATCCCTATCAATGAACGCATCCCATTGGTTTCTTTCTATTGGTCCGCTCAAAAATATGTATTATTTATTTTTGGTGGTAATAGACATCTGGTCATGTCCATTCATATTTGAAAACACATGATAACTTAACTACTTTTAGGGCTTGGTCACCTTTCCCCACAGTACTTAAAAAATTGCATCTGGACAAATCATTGACAGCATCTTTAATACCACCTTAAAATAAAATTCCAATAACAATTCAAACTTGAGTCTCAGTAACTTAGAAAACACAGCTTATATAACATCACCGTACGCAAACATATTCACACTAATACATCCAAAATGCTATACTCACCATAACTCCTCAGGTGTCTTTGCTTCACCGATGTCTCCTTCTGTTTGTTCTGATGATGATGAAGACGATGATACAGACACCAGAGACATCGCTCCCTCCATGTCATAAAACCCTCAGAGTGATCTGCGAGCAACACAGCCGTACATTCGATCTGAAACCAAAGAGGAAGTAAGAACCACATGCTAACAGCTAGTGAGAGCATCCATATACTTGTAACCCTATTTCCGCACGTAGCAACCATTTATTTTGACATCATTGGGGCAAATAGGGGAACTCCACAGAGGAAGAACTGCGTATTCGGTTTTAATCTCTGCTGAATTCCATTGAATAAACAGCCTGGAGGTGCGGCGCTCCTGAATAGATATGCATAATTTCAGCGTGATTATATATTACAGCATATGTAATTGATTATTATGCATACATTTATTCATGACAAATAATGATAGGGTCAGGCTGATTGCGCTCACTTGCGCGGTTCATTAGTGAGAGCAAAGAAAGAAGGCTCCAACAGGTTAATTAGAAAATCACACGTTCTTCTGCGAAAAGAATCAAAGGAGCCGCAGCCGCGTTAATTATGCTCCTCTATGCTAAGCTCATAGAGTAAGCTAAACTAGTGAACTTAATGTGTTTGAGTTGGAGGAAGTGTTTAAAGTGGGTGATCACTGAGTTGGCATTTGGAGCTCAGGTGAAAACGCACGGTCGCAGATGAAAGAACGTTCAAACAATCAATACAATTTAATTTATAACGCGCCTTTCATACAGGAAATGCAACACAAAGTACAATCCCATATACACATGACCCGTTAACCCCACCCCCCAACAGACCCACCAAAAAACACATTTATATTGTTAAGTATACACACGTATATATATTTATACTGCACATTTCACATATACTAAAGGTCACCCCAAAGTGCTTTACAATGGCTTGGAGCACCAATATTTTCCATTTTCCACTAGAGCACCTGCAACTGGTAGAACATGCAATTGAACACTTCTTGTTGTGATGCACTAACCATAACCGGGTTGAAAAAAAAGCTAAACAATGTTTGAACTCCTGCTTTGCCAAAAGTCATAAATCTATCTGTAGTCCATATTAGCCCTTTAGGCGCCAGAGTTTCTGCAAAATGTCTAGACATGAATCTGAAAAATTGGATGTGAAACAAACATAAAGAGGAGGCCCTGAAACTTTAAACGAGATAGAGGGCTATTAAAATCAACAATAGGAATAAATCAAAAGAAAAGTTTCCGGAGCTCTACTTTGCTGCCTATGGTGTAAGTGAGTATGTTTTATTTACTGAACGCTTATATTCTCAAAGCACTTTACAATTGTTGAGGGGCATTCCAGACCTATTGCGCATGCTTTTAGTGATGGGGGCAACCGGAGCACCTGAAGAAAACCTACGCAGGCCCAGGGACAACTTACATGTGAAAGCCAGATTCGGTCAGACCTCTGAAGCTAAGCAGGACAGAAACTTGTTGGTACTGTGATGGGAGACTTCTGGGAACACCACAGTGGGGCGGTTGTGGCTTTAAAGTGCCAAACTGTCAATGTGTCCTTAGGCAAGACACTTAACTCACATTGCCTAGATTAAGTCTGGTGTGTGAGTGAATGGTTGGTGGTAGAGGGGGGAACTGATGGCACATACTGGTTGCCTCGCTTCTGTCGATGTGCCCCAGGGCAGCTGTGGCTTCAGTAGTAGTTTATCCCCACTGTGTATGGAGTGAAAGAATAATGACATGTGAAGCATTGTTATTATTATTAAAATTAGAGAGACCTTGTTAGGAGGCGGAATCAAACCCAGGACCTACTTATTGCCCTATACAAGACTTTCCCATTGTCCACTAATAGAAAGCCTTCCCAGGTTCAGCACTTGCATGTGTCCTGAAGCTGCCTCCATTTGCCTGCGTGATGTTTCACCAAGAGATAAAAGCAGAGAAGTGGTCAGTAGTTGCGACTTGCTCCGGTGCATCCCTACACCGGACTGTTCCATCTATCATATGGGCCAGTACTGCGGAACAAGGCTTTGCTGGGAGTAGCGTCGCAGTGGCGCTATTGACCCGAGCCACTGTCAAAGCCAAGGACAAATGAGCTGCCGCTGCACACCAGAATGGATTTTTAGTCTAACAGGAGATCGTGAGGAGCAATGGGGTCTGTCCCGTGGAGTGAAGGCGTCTGAGAGCGAGGAAGAGTGTTCAGCTGTGTCCTGCTGTGTCCTGATTAAATTCTTCATCAGCTCCAGGAGAGACAGAGAGATCACTGTGTTTAGGCTTTTCACAAAACTTCAGAAAAGATTTGAAGTAGACTATAAACAAAGGAATATCAATGAGTCGATCAATCACTTGTGTTATTTGTTTTCTTATTTCTGTTTTTGATCTATGCCGTATCTGTGTTTAATATGATGGCAATGAATTAATGTATTGTTTTATTTCATTTTTATTTTATTTTTATAATGCGTTTGTCTAATGGGGATCCTCAATAAACAATACAAAAATGAACTAAACTAAAATCAAACAATTGACGAAAGAAGGATTAATGTATTATTGATTACTAACCAGGAAACAATCGAATAAAGCAAGTTTATTTGTATAGCACGGTTCAGACACAGGGAAACTCAAAATGTTTCATAAAACAAGATAGTAAACAATCACAGAAGGCATTAAAATTATAAGAATAATCACAGTACATTAAAACGAGTGAAGATACTATCCTTCAGATGTATGCTCAGCTAAAGACCAGACTCCATCAGACCTCTGAAGCTAAGCAGAGCAGGGCCTGGTTAGTACTGTGATGGGAGACCTCTGGGGACATGAGTGCCACATTTGGGAGGCTGTGGCTGTAAAGTGCTAAACTGTAGCTGTGTCCTTAGGCGAGACAACTCACCCACATTGCTTGAAATGGGCCTGCTGTGTGTGTGAATGGTTGGTAGAGCTCAGAGGGGGCGAGGGAACATACTGGCTGCCTTTTTTCTGTCAGTGTGCTCCAGGGCAGCTGCGGCCACAGTAATAATTTCATCACCACGTATGGAGTGAAAGAATAATGACATGGAAGCGTCTTTGAGTGTCCAAAAAAGTGCTGTGTAAACCGATGCATTATTATTATTATTATTACTATTATTACACCTGGATTTGAGCATTTTTAGAGCCTGTCTCACATTTTCAGGAAGACTGTTCAATATTTTAGCTGCATAAGTCTGAAATGCTGCCTTCCCATGTTTAGGCCATCTAAAACAACATTTACAAATACACATAAAATCATCCGTCAATTTCTGTTTTGAGTGCACGCACAAAGAAACACACACGCACACATAAACACACCCGAACACACACGGTCTTACTACGTTGCATTAGTGTTGATTTTATCTGGCGACTAAAGCAGAATATCAATGTGTCCCAAGAGCAAAAGTGCCTCTGTCCTCTGTCGTATACATTCATGTCACATCGCATTGTCTCATGGTGAAAGATTCGATTTGCTGCAGAAATGTGAGAGCAGCTCTCTCACATTTGGAGTGGACCTGGGTTTCTTTCAGAGACACAATATCTCGATACACATGACACCACATGATAGTACATATCTCGATACACGGGGGACTTACAATTCCATACAATTTGATAACAATATATTTCTAAACGACACAATACAATTCAGTAACAAATATAGCCTTGTGGTCCTTCATCTAAAGCTCCATCCCATTGTATACAACACCATTAAGGCATTTATATTTCATGTATTGGTCAGTACTGTGATGGGAGACCTATGGGAACACCAGGCACCATAGTGGGGCGGCTGTTGTTGTGTTTTTAGGCAAGACACTTGCCACTCATTGCCTAGTAACAAATATTTGGTGTGTGCGTGAATGATTGGTGGTGATCGAAGGGGCCAATGGCACATACTGGTTGCCTCGCTTTTATCAGTATGCTCCAGGGCAGCTGTGGGTATAGTAGTTTATCATCCCTGTTTCTGGAATGTTACTTTATATATATATAAAATAATATTTTTTTCACAGCCCTCCTGCAGAGTCATAAATGAGGCTCCAAAGGTGTTGGACAATAACTGAAAAAGTCAAAACCTCAGCCCCCCTCAAAAATAGCAGAATGTGAATGTGTTCTGATGCAAATGCAAACAAGAAACTTTTGCATGGTGTTCTTATCTTTCAACACACATTAACCGATTAACATTGGACACCTCCCTGGGGAGGTGTTCCGGGCACGTCCCACTGGGAGGAGGCCCCGGGGAAGACCCAGGACACGCTGGAGGAACTATGTCTCTCAGCTGGCCTGGGAACGCCTTGGGGTCCCCCTGGATGAGCTGGAGGAAGTGTGTGTGGATAGGGAAGTCTGGGCGTCTCTGCTTAGACTGCTGCCCCCACGACCCGGCAACGGATGAAGTTGAAAAAAATGGATGGATGGATGGACACATTAACCAACACTACACAAACAGCCTTTTTATGATGGCCATGTGTAAATACCGGAACAAGAGGATATAATTAAATGTAATTATGCATCTTGATGAAGATGCAATCTCACCTTCAACTTCTTTCTTTCTGTACTTTTCATCCTTTTATGTCTTTCCATCCGTCCATCAGGAGCCAAGAACTTTGCATAACTGGCTTCAATAATGGTCCTGGTTATTACGGTCCCAATCTATCAGCTGTAAAAATGATTGCAAATGACACCGTGATGGAGAAGCATAGTGTTCAATTTCTGCTTTTAACACGAATTTCCACTCACATAAAAGAAGGTTCAGTAAAAAGGTTGGAAAGACCTTTTCCGTTTGAAGTGGTTGGCAGAAAGAGAGGGACAAACCCTGTGCTGCAGCAAAGAAGCAAGTGTGTATTTGATTCTAATGTGCACAAGTATGTACATGTCCATGGCACACTGACAATCACAGCAGGATGCATCCATATCTTTTCATTTCCTCAAAATCAAAGCACACTGTCTTTCCAATTTTTCGTCCACAAAGTGACTTCAGTGACTTCAAGGCCTCTCGGTGCTAGACATGCGGGTAGGTGGGTTCTCGAGATTGATAATTCTAATTGGTTGCGGTCATGTGACATCACACTGTTCCAAAAAGCCAAGAGTTTGACATTGTGGTAGAGGG